TCCTTCATACAGTCGATAAGCACACTATTCCACTGGCTTTATTCATTGAAATGTTCTAAAAACGACGCTAGTTTGTCAAATCACGCTACGGAATGTTGTTAGGTCGATGTAGAACAACGTTAAACATGACATGTGCAAGAAAGAATCCAGTATTTTCGCTAACATTGAATTAGATCAGATATCGTGTATGGTTTAGGATCAGGTGAGTGTTGTGTTGATGGCTTTGGTGAAGTAAATGGGCCTTTAAAGTGTCACCCAAGGTGTTTAATTGTGTCAAAGCTCCTTTTAACACATGTATTTGTCAGAGTTTTACAAATCTGCCAATACAGACACTCCAACATGTTACCCCTTGTGTAGACCGGAGCCATGCTACCTTAGTCCGTACACGGACAGACATGTCGGTGTTGAAAACATTCATGACATGACCTTTGTTTAAGTTAAATGATGATGTGTTTATTAACCTTTCTGTAGAAAAGAATAATATCCGTCTTTACAGGCTAACTGTATGACTCTGCATTTTGCAATTTACTGATTGACTGAATTGTGTCATATTTCAAATATTGAAAAATGTTTAACAAAATATTTGTTGAGTTCGGTGGCACGATTTTCCATCAGACTGTAGGCATTACTGTGGGAACAAACTGTGTTCATTGTCTGGCAGATTTGTTTTTTGGTTTAAAAAAAAAATATGAATCTATGGATAAGATTATCAGAACAGGTAATACAAATCTAGCCAAATGCTCCAATTTCACTTTCAGGTATATTGACGATATGTAATCTTTAAAAAACAAGCAATTCATTCACAACGTATATAGCCCTTCCCCCACCCCTCCTCCCGGAGCTTGAAATGAAGGACACTATAGACTCATCTCATTCACTCGCTTTCCTCAATAATTCTTTACAACATGGCGGTAAGGACTTTGCTCCGAATATCATAACTACCTTGTCAGATGTCGACTGTCGACGGACAAACGTACAACGCAGAGTTTCCAAAGATGCAGGTTTACGAACACTTTGAACGAGTCTGATAATCGCCATTATGAAGTCTTTGGAAAATATGCTATATATATTTGATATGCAATGAACGTCAAGGTTTTTTTTTTATCCTGGTCATTTGTATGTCATTTGGTTATGTTTTCACTACTCTAGTTTGCGATGTGAGGACGTGGCATTACTTGCATTTTACTTTGATTTACATGGCGGATGTTGTCAATGAGGCGCAAGACGCTTACCCTTCCGGAACACCAGGGCCCATGTTCATGCTCAAGCATTGATTTTGTGCTCAAACTGAATTTCTTGTTCCATTTGGTCAATTATTTGGGAAAACAGTTAAGAAACTTGAAGCAGAAAACTGTTTTCAATGTATATATTTGACTTTTTGATCGTTTGACATGATTTTAGCGAGGTACAAAAAAGTTGGTTTGAATACAGAATCCATTGCGCATGCTTGAGCAAGAGAATTGTTTCATGAATACGTGCCCAGTCATTATTCTCCTTGTGCTTTTTAAGGTTCGCTATTTAAATAATTCCTTTGCTCATTTTTTCTTATAGTTTCATCGATTTTGAGTTCAAGTTATTGTTTTGTTGAACTTCAAAAGTCTATTTAAAAATGTTCAATACTTAGTTTTTAAGTAACAGATACACTGGGACAGTTGCATTCTGGAATAGGCAGGGAATTTACCCGGAGTATAACACTTCAATCTAACGTTTCTAATAATCGAAGCATAATGACATACAATCAAGCCATCAACTAACATCAGATGATATTGTAAAATTATACCTAGTTGTGTTTGATGCGTCCTCGAAACATACCCGCGGGAGGTTTCCGGGAAACAGGCCGGCATGAAACACGTCCGTCGCTGACGATTTATATTTATTCAGTACGATGACAGGCCTCCAGATATACCAAGGATATGACAGTAGGAAATTACTTCCTTTTCTATTGGTCAATTTTACTGAGGATTAAAACATGATTTTTATAAAGTTAGTTTATATTCATGATAAAACGCTGAAGGGCATCTCATGGAATAAAAGTTAATAGGACTGGACAAACAAAGAAGTAAACACTTTGATGTTTCATTCATTTATTTATCTTATTTCTTAACACTTAAACTTTACAACAAAGAACTATTTTTTACACTTTCGATCCGTCTGGATATTTTGCCATCTATCGACGCAAGTCGATATGTTTCAATATTAGATGACAGACATATTTTTTAAACCCTCATTGGCTGAATTATAATCACGTGGAGGTCGGCCTTTTGTGATATTGACTCGATATTAAATAACTGTTCGGTTTATATTCACTTTATGACGTCATTTCAGCTGTAACGTCACAAACAAGTGTGTATGCAGATTTCTGGAAACTCATGCATTTTGCTGAAATATTCAAGCTCTTAGTACTGTTAAGTCAGTGCTTTCGTCAATTGTGTAAGAATACTCCAAAAGCATCCACAATGCTCAAGAGGTAACGCCCTCTAACGCTCTCTGCATCCCTGGAATATGTCATAGCAAAATTGAACGCATGCGAAAAGACGAAACAACGAAATGGCACAAACCAGTCACCGTACATGTGGCTAGCCATTTGATTGGTCTCAGTTAATAAACACCTGCCCCATCGCTAGGCTGATACCTTTCTAGTGAACATTACGGAGGAGCGATACCCGACTTTAAAGTCCGTCAATTGTACCGTTACGCAGCCACGAGGCTCTTTTGATGTTCATCAAAGGGTGAAACTAGTCTACTTGTCTCATCAACAAGTTAAGGTCGAGCACACTGAGCTTTCGATATATTTATGACATATTCCAAGGGTGAAGAGAGCGAAAGTGGGAGTAACCCCTGGAGTATCGAGGACATTTAACATACCAGACCTTTTTGTTCGCATATAATAATATTTCAATTATTTCTCAAGTTGGACTCAATGCAACTACCAAATGTAACCTATTTCATTTGCCGATGAATTTGACCAGTTAACATTGCCTGTGCTTAGCATTCGCGAAGGGCGATAACTATTGACATGTTTAAACAAACACAAAAGATATCACTTGATGAGAATTTACATTTTATTGAAGCTACACAAGAAATTGTTCGGAGAACTAAATACGATCAATCAGCAAAATATTATCAGCTCACGGTTGCTAGTGGTAGTGACAAGTCATTCTCTCTCCAGCTACCCATTCTGCCGTTTGTGTCAGTTTCAACCCCCGGTACAAATCGAAAACAACGTAGATCCTGTGGTCCTGTCTTATATGAAATGTAGTCAAACAGCCAACTGCCATATTAAATTGTTTCGTCCTTTCAAGGTACGTCTTGGGTCCTGTCTAATTTGACATTCAATTACTGCAGCTTCACATTCCAGAAGATATTAAGCGGCTCTCCGGATCCACTTCGAGCTTGTAAAAAGATGACTACCGTAGACTCGCATCTGAGCCTGCGCACCGCGTCTAGACATTACTCTTCTGCGCAAACTCTTCAGATTTTTTTTATATCTTTTGGATTCATCAACAAAAGTTAAATATGACATTTTAAATATGGTTTTGAGTTTCGTTTCTACATAATTTGGCTGTATTGAACTATCAACCTACACCATCATGTTGTGATGGTCCTTCAATGACGGACTATATTGTTTTACATTACGTCAATACGTAGACTTGCACAAGCTCCAGAACCTTGAGCAACCTATCAAAATGGACTTCACAAGTTCCAATTATTGAAGAAAAAAACACACGTTGATTGAAATATAAGGTTTGAATGTTGCTTTGGTCGATTTCATGAGGTGATGAATTGAGTTGAACTTGAAACAAATTCAACATGAACTGCTTCGCAGTTCATTAAATTTGTTTCAATACCAACTTAATTCATCACCCCATGAAATCGACCAAAACAAGATTACATTCTTAAGTGAACATATATAAGGGTATAATCTATTACGAATGGCATTTCGGTGAAAACCACAAAAAGGCCAAGGCGACATAAATTGAGCGTTAAATCTTAATTTAGTTTCCGGCTGACGTTAACTTTGTGGAGTTCTGTAGCATTACTTCATTGGAGACTAAGGTCATGGCTATGACGGAGATGTGCTCTCTCTTTTGGTATTGTTTTCATATGAGGCTGAATTTATTGAAAAGTTTATTAGGTAACAAAGATTTAGCCACGCTCTTTAATGACATGTTACGATAAAACAACGAAATCGTGTAAATCCTCCTGAACTTGAATATAAGACGGTTTAAACGCTTTTACATCAGTCACTTACCTCTAGTCTACATACAACACGACCAACAGAGATATATTACAACCAAGCTATATGAGAACAGTGGCACCTTTGGTTTTTCGTCCTTGAACTTTCCCTTTTTTATAGTACCATCCCTTCTTCACGACTATATACAGATTTCATGTTCGATCTCATTTGGCTAGTTGTTATTTTGTGTGTTATATATATAGGTATCGACGTCAGTTATTATTCTCATATTTTGTTGTTGCGAGATGATCATTATTGTCGTACTGTAGGTATATGTCACATAAACTGTCTTAGTTTAAGCTGACGAAGTGGAGGAACCCGTAGATATGATTAATTCTTTTTTTAAATTATGAACACGCAATCAATCCTGTAAATTAAATAAATGGGCAGATAATCATATTATGATATTCTTCAGTAGCCCTTGTTATATATTCAGCTTCAGCTGAAAATTAGAAAAAAAGCCGACTTGTAGTATTACACATCTAGTCCTCGTCTTGAAAGGGCGATGTTCCATGCGCAGAGCGTCCCAGTAAATAGTGCTTCATTATACCTGTCTGTCATTCGACTGAAGTTTAATGAGTTGGTATAAAGCGAATTACCCCCGATCAATTAACCGCTCAGTGCTTCACACATTGTTAATTTTTGATCCTACAAAACGCCAACCCTGTAGAACCCCGCTCGGCAGCGATAGGCTTTGTGTCACCCATCGTTAAGGCACTTTACGTGGCTGACTATACTAACCTTCATACTTGTCTATGTGCTTCACTGCTGAGACGTCTTTCAGTTCCGTATCACAAGTAGGTTTTCAATCATGACTCTGTTGTGAAAGACCCTTTTGCCTCTTACGAACTAGTTAGAATTTCTGTAATAAGAAAAGTTGAAACTGCTAAAGGCAAATCGTGGTAATTACCTGTATACAAAGTTTGAATGGTATAGAAAAGTGTTGAGATCATACCTAAAGTATGCCCAGCTGCAAGAAACCTGGCAAAAATGCCGAAATACCCATGATGACTGGAATGAGGTATATATGCGCACATCCACCCATTTACATAAGGAAGGGCCAATTAAAACGAGTATACAGTAACAATGTTCAGAAATCTGATATTGTGAACAGTTGTTTTAAAAATGAATTTTGGTTTCAAAATGTTTCCTAGTTTTTTATTCTTCAGACATAGATATACTATAGGATTCCGATACACATTTACATATAAAACTTCTCTAAAAACACATTTTCCTGAGGTTTCTACTTTGTTCAGTGAAAGGAATTAGTTTGATGGAGCCACGGCAGTCTAGTGGTAGGACGCCGGGCTCGTGACCGAAGGTTGCGCGTTCAAGTCATGGCACAGTGTTGTATCTTTGAGCAAGATACTTTACTTCGCTTGTTCCAGTCTACTCGGCTGGAAATGAGTGCGTGGTTGGATAGTGCTAGAATTGTTGAATGCTAGCTGTGAGCGCCGAAATGGCAGCACCGGCTGTATGCTCCCCAGGGAGTTGAGAAAGAACCACGGATAATAAGTTGTGAACCGGTTTGAGACGACCCACACACTAGGTTGTGATAAAGCGGTATATAAGAACCTCGAATTATTATTATCATTATTGATTCATTTATTTATCCTCAGGTAGTGGCGGCCATTTTAAATTTCTCAAACGGTAGATGTGAGTTTAGCACCATGCCAACCGTGTATTCTATACATCAATACTCTTTGTCTTGTTAATGTTTATTAAGGTCATTGGAGTGTATTGATAAAAGGAAACAGGAAGTACATCCCTAGTTGAAAATCCAATGTAGGGAGACAGCATCACAATTTCCGCAAATTCTAATGTTTAATATCAAACTGATGAATATTGTATGTTTATTATTGACAGAACAGCGTGTTCTCTCAATATTAAAGTATTTCAAAGCAATCCAGGCATTAATTCAGTTTTTTTTATCAATGAATCACATGCGTCCATTTTTTCTTTACTTCAGGAAACCGGCTACCTTTTTCACTACTGTGAAGTTTTTCAAGAACGATAACTCTTACCTGCAATTACTATGTGTATATGGTTTATTACAAAATGTCAATTTTTATATCGTGTATAGAGAATTAATTTTATACATTTTCAGCATTTATTAAATTGATATACATTAATGCAATACTAATATATGTCAGTATCATTTTTATTGACATTATTTTGTAAAAATATTGTGTTTTTCATTTTATTTTCAAAATTCATTCCTTTTTACCTAAATTTTCATTTAAAATCCTTAAAATTCTGACAACCTATATTTTTTTTGTGGCAGAAAATTTTCTTTACTTTTAAGCAATATAACTACAAAATTTGAAGAAATTCTACTGAGAAATGGTGACACAATCCTATTACCTTAAGCGATGTGATGGAATTCCGATAATTCTCCCGACTACACAATTTCCTTGCATCTGTCTGTTGTTGCAATAATGATCTTATTGAGAGACATTCGATTCCATTTTCTTGTGCAAAAGTTAAGGTCAATGATTTTATACCATGTTCTCTAATGTAAATTATGGCTGTGTAGTCAATACCCTGGTTCTCCTTTTGAAAACATTGCATTACTTGTATATGACCCTGACTTTCATGGTGAGTACTGTCGATGGCGTAGAGGACGCTTACCCTTCCAGAACTCCTGGTCTTATATTCCCAAAGCTTTCTGTGTTTATGTTCACTTTATTCGTGATCAACCATAGTTTCGTCGAGTTTGAGTTCGAGTTACGGTTGTTTACATTTCAAATTAGACATTGTACTCGTAGTTCTTTGAGTGCAATGGAATTTGTATTGTTGATGTATTATGAATCCGTTTCATTTTATTAAGGTGACGGGACTCTATTGGGCAGATACACAACTAAAAGCTGGAAAGGTAGCTGACATCCAATTGGTTCAGAAGATTTACATTGCACTTTATCTTTCTCTAAATTCTTCTCATTAAAGCGTTTGAAATTTTACAAAAGCACCAGAAGCGTCAGGGTGATGTGATCAATAGAGAGCAATGTTCCTACTCATCAAACCATAACTAATACCAGTATCACAACGTCCACGCTTAGTTTGATTTGTTTATTTGTTACATTCTGTTAACAGCATTTAAGGAAGAGACAGGTTTTGGAGTTTGAGAAAGACGGGGGAACCCGAAGAATACCGTCGGTCTTCGGTCAGTGCCTGGCGACTACCCTAGTTAGGCCTTGAACCCATGACCAGTGTGGGATATTTAATGGTCATAGATGGTAATGTACCCTAAACATTTGGCCAACAAATCCCCTTCTAAAACGAGCATTGGGGATACACTTCCTACAGACCTATTCAAGCAATATCTTGAAGCACTGCTTCCTTTGGTTACCTCAATAATGAACAATCATTGGATGGGTCAAAGGTTCCATTGTGTTTCATGAAGGCACATGTTAGACCATTGTTGAAGAAGCCTAGGATGGACAAGGAGGTGTTGAAGAACTACCGCCCAGTATCAAATCTACCTTTTCTGTCTAAGATATTTGATAAGGTTGTGTCCCTGGGTCGAGAGGTTCATCTCCATGCAAACAGTCTCTATGACAACCTTCAATCGGCCTACCGCATGGGACACTCTACTGAGACGGCTCTCATTCGTATATATAATGACATAGCTTCTGCATTGAATAACAAGTGCAGAGCAGTCCTTGTCATGCTCGACTTGTCAGCTGCATTTGACGTCATTGGCCATGATATACTTTACAATCGTCGAGAGTACTCTTATGGAGTGACTGTTGACAAACTATGATTGGTAACAGTGTTAGCTGAGTGAACGACGACAGCGTGTTGCCATCAGATATACCACCTCACATGTCAAGTACTAGATTTATGGGTTCCTCAAGGGACGGTGTTAGGAATACAAAAATATTGCCAATATTCAAAAGCTATCGGAGGGATTTGTCGTCGCCATAGTCTTCGCAAGCATTGTTATGCTGACGACACACAAATACATGGTCATCAAACCAAAGGACAGTTGGGATACCATATGAGAAAATCTCGCAGCTTGTCTGACAGACATCAGTACCTGGATGAACTTTCCCCAAAGTGTCAACATACATTGACCATAGCTCCTGGGTGGTGTCAGACCTTTTGAGACTGTCCCAGATGTTAAAAATCTAGGGGTATACTTTGATAGTTTACCGAATCTGCAGAAACAAGTGAACGCTATTGCCAAATCCTGTTACTACCAGATCGGAAACATCGGTTGTATCCGGCAGTTTATAACCATGTTAATGCCATGCGCTGTGGTATATCTGACAAACTAACAAGTCGTCTGCAGAGGGTCCAGAACACTTCAGCACGTGTGGTTACTCGTACTCGAACGACAGAGAACATCACACCTGTGGTAGAAACAGGTCGCAGTACAAACGTTTGGAGTACACATACAAGGCACTGAATGGAACAGCTCCCCAGTACCAACAGGAATTTGTTACCTTGTATCAGCCGTCACGATCACTGCAGTCGGAGACAGAGTCATTATTTTGTGTTTCAAAATAACGAACTGTGACCTATGGAAACCGGTGCTTTGGGAGGGTTTCGGCCACGTTGTGGAAAAGCTTAACATCTGCTATTAGAAAGGCAAAGACCTTGGCCAAATTCAGGAAGGATATAAAGACCCACCTCATCACGTTTGCATTTAATGTTCTTTGCACAGACGTCATGTTACACACCACCAATTATATATTCATTTAAATGAATATTGAAATAATTATCGTCTTACTTAATACGTAAATTATAACTTATACTACAGTATTATCCATATGTTGTAAAGCGTATTTTACAAATTATATAGGGCGCTATATACATGTTATACAATGAATATTATGTACATTATGTATGTTATAATATGCATGAAAAAATATCATAAAACATTATATTAGTAATAAGGGGCGCAATATTGGAACAATACAAATTCAATTTTGATAAATAGACCAATCTCAGAAAAAATTAAAATACATCAACCAAAATATGTTCAATATGTTTTATGTTTCATCTAAAAATAAATCAAAAATGTATTATATCTACAAACACATAGACATCAGACATATATTATACATATACAAATACAAGTACTGTATTAAATCTACACAGGTACAAACAACAGTACTGTATTATATCTACACGCGTAAAGACATCAGTATTGTATTATATCTACACACGTACAGACATCAGTAATGTATTTGATCTAACCACGTACATACATCAGTAATGTATTATATCTACACACGTACAGACAACAGTATTGTATTATATCTACACCCGTAGATTCATCAGTAATGTATTATACCTACACATGTACAGACATCAGTAATGTACGTGTGTAGATATATTACATTACTGATGTATGTACGTGTACGTGTTTAGATAAAATACATTACTGATGTCTTTACGTGTGTAAATATAATACATTTCTGATGTATGTACGTGTGTAGATACAATGCATTACTGATGTCTGTACGTGCGTAGATATAATACATTACTGATGTAATGTATTATATCTACACACGTACAGACATCAGTAATGTATTATATCTACACACGTACATATATTAATGTATTTGATCTAACCACGTACATACATCAGTACTGTATTATATCTACACACGTACATACATCAGTAATGTATTATATCTACACCCGTACATACATCAGTAATGTATTATACCTACACATGTACATATACCAGTACTGTATTATATCTACACACGTACATACATCAGTAATGTATTATATCTACACACGTACAGACATCAGTAATGTATTATATCTACACACGTACAGACATCAGTAATGTATTATATCTACACACGTACAGATATCAGTAATGTATTATATCTACACACGTAC